TTTTTCTTTTCATTTTGTTCATTCATTAAAACAAAACAAACCAAAATATTAACCATGAAAACAATTGTTGAATACATTATTTAAATTGTATTTATACCGCCTTATTATTTCTTATTATGTTGATCACGTCACAATTTGTAGTACAGGCATTCATACTAGTACTAGTACTGCTATTATTATTATTATTATTATTATTATTATTATTATTATTATTATTATTATTAGGAGTAGTAGTAGTAGTAGTAGTATTCATGTCATTTATAGGAATAATATTAGCTGTTGTATAAATCAATCTAGTCGAATGATTATCATTGAATTTTGTACCGGTTTCATCTTTTTTAATTGGATGGTTTGAACGTTTATGATTTTCTAATGAACGTGATTGACAAAAGCCTCGATGACATATTGAACATGAAAATGGTTTTGATGTTAAATGAGTGTAGCTCACCATTGAACACCTGAAAGCACAAGACGGCAGTTTCGTCCTATTGTGGGACTCCTCACCAGTGTGCATCCATGATCCCACCTCGTGGAATTCGAACCCAAGGCCTTCAGCCTTGCACTAAAGCACTTAACTACTACACCATTGAGTCGGCATCCAACAGTGTTAATGTCTAACCTTAACCAATCCGCGATGTTGCGCGACCATCTCACATTGTGACTAGTAACTAGTGACTAGCTTCGGTAGGGAGTTCTCGGAGCCCCAGTGAGAAGCTGTGATCAGTGGAGCTAATCCTTGTGGGGTAGAGACAGGTATCTACCTCAGTACAGTGGAAGATGGTCGCAAAATTTCATGGGTTGATCGAAGTTAGACATTAACACCGTTGGATGCCTGCTCACTGGTTTGAAGTTTAAGCATTGGTGCGCGAGACCCTAGATTTGAATCCCGTGAGCTGGATCTTGGATATGCAGTTCTGAGGAGTCCCACAACAGAACGAAACGGTCATCCAGTGCTTTCGGATTTTCAATGATGGTCTCACATCAATCAGTTCACGATCTCAATCAAAAATTATTTTTTTTAAAAAGAATTACAATAACTGTCGTTAAAACGATTATGATTATTATTCTCTACCTCAAATGATAAATTTCAAGGGTATGATAATAACTGATAATAATAGCGATAATAATAATAAACAAGAGAATAGTTTGCGTTCAAAATGGAAGAGTGTAGAGAATTGCTCATTGATAAGGGGTCTAGGTGTGAACGATAACTTTAAACCACAAATGTTTTGATATTAGCTTGAATGAAAGTACATTTTTTCTGGTCAAAACATGAAAACAATTGTCATATACTTCACTTGGTATAGTTTGACTTGTACCTTCTCATTGAGGTTTAAGTCCACAATTGATCAGTCTCTTATTGGCATATGTGCATACTGTGCGTATGCCTCGATATTGCCTTAATTCACAAGTTAAACCAAAAACTTCTGTGTATTACGACAGTTTTGATGGATTACTGTTGGGAATTAAGATCTCTATTGCTGTTGTCTTTATCTTCACTATTTCCATCGGATCACATAAGTCTATGGTTATCTCTATGATGAAAAGAGATAGTGTTGCGATTTGTACAGTGGAAACCTAGTACGACATACAGTCGTAGTAAAATCTCCAGAAATCCTCTCTCTGATTATAATTATAAATATTAGTTGTTTGCAACTTACCATTTACGTTTTATGACTGTAGTTGAACAGGTAAGTTCACCTTATGAAATCCGAGTAGGGTAAAACATGCATCCTAGATTCCATTGCTAGCCACTATTCATCTTTGCTTAAAATGCTTGAAAATTAATGACAATATCTAGGCAATCCATATAGGATGTATGTATATCAGAAGAGACTTAACATTTGCATTAGTTTTTGATGAAGTTTTGTTCTCTGAACTGGATGGTTTGGTCGTGGATCTTTCATCGTTCTTCTGAACGACATCATCAGCACAAATCTTCAGATAGAAGTCACCTGAAGAAGTCTACCTGAAGTTTGTGCTGACAATGTCGTTCAGAAGAACGATGAATGCTCCACGACTAGACCATCCAGTTCAGAGGACGAAACTCCATCAAAATTGTCCACTTGAGCTACAAATCTTTTCCACCATCTCGAAATTGCATTAGTAAACTATTAATGAAAAGATCCAAACAAGCAATATGTATAAATTAAAATTAACTCCACTCCAAAAGGCAGTAGCTATCTGTACTTAGTAGTTAAGTGGATAACGGAATGGCATTTGAAGAGAACAGTACTGGGTTTGAGCTTCGGAGAGAAGATCAACTTGAATGAAAGTACACCGAAATGATAAGTGCTAGATCAGGAAAAACGCACTTCCTGGATTACCCTGCTACCAACAAATTGCTTTATTTAGGCTAAATAAATCAATATTTGAGCTATTCAGTTATTGTAACTCTTCTGAATATCAATCATTTTAAATGATTTCATTACTCCTTTATTACAGTCTACTGTCAGATGAATAAATAGTTGAATACATTATTACACGTTTAATGATTGGGATCATGAAGCGAATGATGTTAGACCGCTGTTGAAAACCTAGAAGCACTGGCTGTCCGTTTCATTATATTATGGGACTCCTTAACAGTACGCATCCACGATCCGGCTCGCGGGATTAGAACCCAGGGCCTTAGGTTTCTCTCTCTCTATATATAAACTCATTTTTAAGTTATATTTGTCAAGCTTTTCTCTTTTAATTCTAGTGAATCAACCAATGAAAATGAAAGAAAAATATATTTAAACAAAGTCATTAATAATGATTGAATTAAAAGAAACATATTCAATGTTGAATAGGTTGCAATGTTAGTGAATTCCGTTTGAGAGAAAACTTTTCGATCAAAATGAATTGAATCGATATTACTTATATTAATCATTATGAATAGAAGAAATGAGATGAAAATAATTGTGAAATAAATAAGTAACAAGTAAATAGTATTGAACTGGAATCGAACTACATCATGAGACAAGCGATAACATGGAATCGTGAAGGGAAACATACAAGAAGAAGAAGAAGAAGAAGAAGACGGTCGAAGAATACACTATGTCGGAACTTGGAAACAGACATGAAAAAAAAAGTATAAGTATTGAAATGAACTGGAAAGGATTCATCAAGTCAAGGTTGAATTGAGAATGTTGCTGGGTGACTTATACTCTTCCATAAGGATTAACGGACATAAATATGGTATGAGATGGTTTTGGTTTAATCAGTTGTTCCGTTGAACATAATGCGTTACTTAAATCCATTTCAGGAGTTTCAATAGATTGTTGTTTTATACCAAAAAATATTTATAAAGTTTTGGCCAATCTGATAAATTAACAGCAATATAAATATGTCCAGCATTATATTCGTGTGGATAACGACAATCGATAATAAAGAAATGTTGAGGATTCATTTTCAACTTTGATAAAGTGATCATTTTTTAAGAAGGAACTAATTGAGCGAAGAAATTTCTTTTCAATTAGTTTTTCATTATGGCTCTACACTAATATATATACGTTTTACAATAATAATATAATACTCATCGAGTGGATACGTTACGTAATAATTACATAATGACCTTTAAATTAACATTCAGTAATTGGAAGAGAGAGGATTATTAATATTCAAAGTAATCAAGAAGTTGCTATGTTGCGTAATATAAGAAACAAAGAAGGAATAGAATTTTACCGGATGGTCAATAGGATAGTAGTTACGTAAGAATCAAGAGATGAATGTTGAGAAGTTATTAGGCTCAAAAGCGATAGAAACAAAATTACAAAAATTTTAAAATAAAAATAAAAATGGAAGAAGTATGAAAAATAGTTCTTCCGACGGAAATGTTATACTGAAGGCCAGGGTAGAGAAAGTGGTTGTACGAATTTCTTTTGGATGCAAAGGTCAGGTTTGTGAACATGGATTGCAATGGTTTCCGCAATGTGCAAAAGGCGCACTCGTAAACCATGTGGTAAATTTGATGGAATTTTGTAGATAACCTTAAAAGCTTTATTCACTTCGACTTGATGACCTGTGTCAACCAAGTGAGAGAGAATAGAACTTTTAATCACTTTCACTTGTCCTTTGCTTAGCCATGTTGGATGATGTTCTGTAATTCGGTGACGGACCTGTCGAATTGTACGCCCAATATAACTGGCTCCACAGGAGCAGTTGAAACGATAGATACACATAGATTTGGCGAATTCTGGCAGTCTGTCTTTAATGGATGTTCTTATTTTTGGGTGGTTGTAGAAGATGACATTTAATTTGGCAGCATTGAATGTTTTTTGTACCGCTCTTCTTAGTTTCTGAGTCATGACTTCCTCAATGGTGTCATTTATGAATTGTAGTTTCATGAATAATACCTTCTTCGGGACAGTGGGTATTTTTGTCCTTGTTTTCTTCTCCGTCATATGTTTTTCGATGAATTTCATTGGGTACCCATTCAGACTGAGTAGATTCCGAATATTGTTCAATTCATCTTCAATAGTGTCTTCAGAACAGATCATTCTAGCACGATGTGTCAAGATCTTTATTAAGTTCCTTTTGTATCTAATTGGAACTGCACTGTAGAAATGAGTGTATTGACCAGCTGCTGACTTTCTGTGTACTCTTCTTTTTATAGTTCCGTCTGTTCTTCTAGTTAGTTGGACATCTAGAAAAGATATGCTATTATTTTGTTCATCTTCTGATGTAAAGTAAATTGATGGGTGAACGTTATTAAATATATTAAGTAAATTATGCTTATCATTTTCTTTTCCTAATACTAAGAAGGTATCATCTATATAGCGATAGTAAGTTGGTAAATGGGTAATTGTACTTTTAAGTGGTCCATTTTCCAGTTTTGCAAGGAAAATATTGGCCAGTAGAGGGCCCAATGGTGATCCCATGGCGACTCCATCTAGTTGTCTATAGTATTCATTGTCAAATCTGAATTGGACGTTCATAGTGCATCTAAGAATTAACTGTTTTATCGCGCATGCGGGAATCGCTTTTTGTTGATTTTGAAGTTTATGTTTATATCTAAGGTCTTGTAAACAACATTTTGATCTCTTATTACCTTTACCATTGAACTGTTCTTCATTAGGTCCAATAAATTCTGAAGATGATGAAGAAGAACAAGAAGAACAACATGATGATGATGAAGAGTTGGACGAAAAGGAATATGATAATGTACATACTGACTTTTGGAAAATAGGTGATTATTTTAAAATCAGTGATTTCATCTCAATTAACCAATTTGCTAGTTGGTCTACTTCAATTGTTCGCCTTGGTGAATGTAAACTATTATTCAATGTCCAAAAATCATAATGTTGAAGTGAATTCTGTTGAAAAACAATTGATAAAATAAACATTGTAGTTTTATTGGTTAAAAAGTGTCAGATAAAAATTGCTGTTTGAAGTTGTGAGGACGACCCATGGGTGAACTCAAGGAAGCTATAAGAAGCTTAGAAAGAGCTGAAGATATTCCATTCAATCATCTTTTGGAAGAATATTCCAGAATCCCTATGTGCAGCTTCCCTATTGGACAAATGCTAATAACCACCTGTATGCACATTTAAGGGCTATAATGATGATGGAATATCTTCAGCTTTTTTTTAAGCATTCTAGAGCTTCCTCGAATTCACCCATGGTTCGTCCTCACAACTTCAAACAGCAATTTTTATCTGACACTTTTTAACCAATAAAACTAC